AGAGGGAGCTCTGCTCAGCCACAAGCCAGGCTGATGGCTGCCAGCACAGAGGTGGTGGTGGGAGAGTGCCCCGCCTCCTCAGCAGCACTAAGGATGTCTGACTGCAGCTAACATCTTAGGTCTGCTGGTAAGTGGACATCCCCCGAGGGCTACCAGACTTCCGGAGGGATGTCTGACTGCCAGCTTGGGCCCAATCCTCTATGGAGAGGGCCTAAGCCAGCAGGTGGACATCCTCCGAGGGGTCACAGACTGCAAGAGGGCATAGGCCGGGCTGAGGGACCCCCCTCCCCGCCCCCGCCCCGCCGAGTGCACAAAATTTTATACACCAGGCCTCTAGTTATATATATAAGACACAGTTTTCCTTTTAACAGACTGGAAAAGGACTAAACAAACCCCACATTAAAGGGGGTAACATTTTTCTTCAGAGCCAAGAAATCCTTGTTCTCTGTCAGAGGGATGATGAGGCCTGGGCAACGAAGGAGGTGGCCATGGTATTTAGAGCTGGTATTCCCTGTGTGTGAGTAGAGATTGTAACCTGGTGGAGACGGGTGAACAACAAGAATCATGACAAGTGATCCAGTGAAAGAAAAGTGTTTCAGTGCCAATGATTCCAAGGCAAAGGATAGAAGAAAAGCAAGTATTAGTCTGGAGAGTTGTAGCTAAACATCTAAGAAAACTAGACAAACTTAGGATTAAGTTCAATTCATGGGTGAAAGATAAAACTTCAAAAAAATTAATTGGAATCAACTCAGAATTGTGTATTAGTCTGTTGAAATATAATTTTTCTCTCTAAAATCACACCTATCCTCATTAAGGACCAATCCATTTATTGAATTAAGTCCAGTTTTAATTTGGCCTATATGCATGAATACAATAAGAACAGTAAATGACTACATAGGCTCTTTAAAAATCTAATTTTGCTGGACTCCCATGACCAAATTTCAGTGAGGCCTTCAGGGCAAAGAAGCCAAGCCATCCAGCCGCTATCAGGCCAGCCAGCAGTACCTGTTAAGTTGGGTAAATTCCTCAAGTTTTTGAGGTCCCCACCGGTGTCTTGAGGTTCTTTTCATGCCACCCTTCAGAAAAGTAACCTTCATTCCTTACCTGAGAAGATTATTATGAATCACGTGACCAAGTGAAGTACCAGGCTTCTCCCTAACATGCTCACATTGGCTTCCAGTCCTCCAGTGACATCCAGAGGCCAGGCATGTCTCTCTCAGACATGACACTCCAGCAAAAGTCTTGGTCAACAAAACTATTATTGGAAACTGGTATTATTGAACCCATGCAAAGAAACGTATTGCTATGACCCATTTATTATGGATTTCCAAATTCTGGAGCGATTAGGTAGGGAGAAAAATATGTAATTTACCAAATTGTTCTGTTTCCTTGTATTTGAAATACAAAGCCCAAAAATCAGGAATACTTTTAACAAAAGTCACAAAACCTGAATTTTGTCTTTTTACATAAATGAATTTATATGAGAGACCTTGACCGTACTGTGAAAAGCCAATCAATTAAAACAATTAAAGCATATATCTTTACTGAAAAAGTAAAACAAGTAAACTATACATCTGCTCATGAAGTATAGATGGGCCCCCAGCCAATCCGAAGAACAGGCTGGGTGGGGGTCAAAGGCATCATACACACTCCTGTCTGTAGGTCTTAAAATTGCTCCATTGAATAAATTGATGCAGATTAATTCCTAAGATTCCGTTAGTTTGTTGTGGTCCAGAAATCATGAGAAGCACGGGCAACCTTACCTTGCCAAGACTTGAGACTGCCAGCCTCTCTGCCTAGGGAGTAAAACACCCTTTTTTCCCTTCCCCCGCCTCCCTCCCTTTCTGTAGGGAGGTTTTGGGGTTGTTTTGTTTTGTTTGGACCACTTGTTTTGTGTTCTTGGCTGGAGAAGATAATGGTTTATTAGTTACAAGTTGGCTGCAAGTTGCCCACATTATTTGGCTTTCAATATTTTTCCTTATCTACACTAATAAAAGAGAAACATGGTAATTGGCGTACGACTGCTACCCTTCCCATTGGCTAATCAGTGAGATATGCAAATTAACTGGCAGCCAGGCAGCTGAGGCGAACAGGGAGGCTTGCTTGCTTCAGTGACGGAGGACTCCAATGTTCCCCGCCTGACTTGCAGGCCTCTCAGCTGCAACTCTAAGTAACTATGTTGCAAATATAGAAGCTAAAAGAACCCCAGAAACCTGCTTTACTAGGCGGGGCTTCAGCCAGCCGGACCGCAACATTGTATCAAATA